GGAGGAGTGGTAGCTATATAGTATCTCGAAAAAATACATGTGGTGTGGATTAAAAGTGGAGTGCCACTAACTAAGATTGCTTGTAAGCATTTCCACACTAGTGCGAGCTGGAGCCCGACCACAAAGCCGTCACACATAGTGACGAGCTGGGTTCCACCATCATGTGCTCGGCCTTAATCATCATAATGTGATCTAACCATACTGAGTAGCTCCCTTTGTCTCTTATCTTATCTATGTCTCATGTCCATGATGAGGTGATTGTAGTGCTAACATGCATAGGAGGCCTCCAGAGCATGACCATCGCTGGCAAGTCACACATGCCCATGGTTATGTAGGTTGATGCATTCATGGGGTTCCTCCTTTTGTTTGCGATTTTTGGTCTCCGAATTTAATCAAGATACATTTGCTTTTTTTTCCTAACCAGAAAACATGTGTGTGCAATGTGTGTCTCGACCAATATAGACATTAAAACACATTACATGCCCATTAGCAAAAGACGTTAAGAAGCACCAATATCTTAGTCATGCTCATCTTGTAGAATGGCAATTCAGTGAGCATGCATAGACAACAATTAGTCATTAGCTTGAGATTTCCATAATTACCCACCGGTAATAACTAGGGGAATGGGAGGAAAGCGAGGCATGCTAATTCACCTAAATTATCTTGACCATTCGATCTTTCTTTGACAGTCAATAGCCGTTCGATTCTCAAACAAGGGGTAAATAAAAGGAAGCACGGTAGAAACCCTAGCCCTCGTATCTCTCCATTCCACCTCCTGCCGCCGCCACACGTTTCTTCTCTTGCATCTCTCGTGTCGTCGCTCCCATGCCCCTCCCCGCCGATGTCTCTTGCTGCTGCCATTCCCGTCCCCACCCCTTTCCATCCTGGGCTCCTTGCCTCTTCAGAGCGCACACGGGTGTGGCCAGATGGTGGTGCAACCGTCGCATCACTGTAAAGCGAGCGGAGGACCCCCGGGTTCAACCCTGGGAAATTGGTGAAGGGCATGTGATGCCTGGGCCTCCTTCCCAGGGAAGGCAGTGCCGTCGACGCTGGCTTCTGGTCAGGGTCATCCTTAAGGGTGTGTGGGTTATGTGGCCGCACAACCCCCTCCCCCCATCTTACCCTCGAAGTGGGGGAGAACTCGGTAAGGAGTCCCTTATGCCTTGATTTTTATTTCTTTTTTTACCCAAGATATATTGTGCATTCGTGAAAAAAGTTCAGGTTTACAACGCCGCCATGGAAACCTTACTCTAAAGTCTAAACTGTCGGTCATGGTGGAAGAAAGAAACTAGGAATAAGGTAGAGCCATGAAGCTTTATTGGGCTTGTGGGAGTGTGGGCTGCAAAACATTTCCTGAAGGCTATGGACTTATTGGGTTAGGCTGAACAGGTAGTACCGACCGAGTCAACAATCATCATCCAAACATGACCCAATTGATTCAATTCAATCGCTTGGGAAATCACGAGTCAAGAGGAAGAATACTCGACGCTGGCATGGTAGGCTCTCGATTGTAGGGGGCATATGGATGGGGGCGATAAGACTACAAGCTGTTGGCTTCTTCCTTGTCTCCCCTCCCTCATTCCCTGAAGGAGCGGTGAGACCACAAGCAAGGCAGTGGGATGAGGCTAGCGGTAAGTAGTCAAATAGACATAATCAAAGGTATTGCAATTTTTTGCCTTCATACAATTGAGCATTTGTGTGCTTGAATTAAATGAAAGTGAAGTGCGCTTATTTTCTATACAGGTTACCGAACAAATTACAATAAGTGAAAGGGCGGTTTCTTATTTCCTCAATTTTGAACCAAAGATTAGATCTTCCATCTTGTAGAAGATTAACTATGAACACGTACATGTTGCTTCATTTCAATGGGTTTGATTATCATGGTAGAAAACATATTGTTAGCCACTTACTCAGATGTTGTTGATCGCTACACAACAGAAATGTTGAAGCTCATATGTGAGACTAGTTATTGCGGGGTGTCTTGATGTAGATGTAGTGAAAGTACATAGACCATAACTGATCAACATTAAGTGTAATAATCTCAAAGTACCATGCCTCAAATTTATGACATCTCCAATCATGAATTGGTAAGGTGATGGGAAGCCATTATTATGATAGCTTCAAGAGAAAGAGTGCAAATCTAGCACTAAATTTTGAGAGTTTTCATAAGTTCAAATGACCGATACACCACACATTTTGATTATATAGTATGCTAGATCATCGTAGTCCTATGATTGATACAATATGGCCTTCAGTTATCTTATAGAATGTTTTTATGTAGCCATATATGTCTTTTTTTGTCATGTTTGAATTGCTATATTTCAAGAACTAAAGAACAATCAATGTTGTGCAAGTCTGTATGCTTTGTTTATATTACAACACTAGAATTCCATGTGGTAAAACTAACATTCTCAAATATCTTCATGTTTTTTAAATATAGAGTAAAACGTAGAATGTGATATGATTTACTAATATCTTAATGTTCATGTCATTCAGTCTAGTCTGTCATGCCTTAACTCTAAGATATCACCAATGTACATTGTTGATGAATGTGTTGCACATTTCAAATAAGACAACATACCATCTGATAACAAGGATTACAATACCAATTTCTTATTATGTAGTTACACATGTATATGAGTCTTTGTTTTTCCATAGAATAAATACTTTTGTATGGTTGTTGTAGCGTGTAGGGTATGCATGACAACCCATTATTAAATAAGAATGTACCTAGTTAAAATAGCCACCATGGTCTTTTAATACAACAATGTATGTATGCGAAAACAACTTAAATTGTGGGCATGTTTCATATATCCTCCTGATTTCACGTTAAACAAAAAAAGATAAACCATATCTGTTAACTTTCTTGCATATCTCCTTATGTGTAAGCCTGATCCTATGCTCCATGATGTTATACTCTGCATTATAAAGCACAAAACCTAACTAAAAACTATTGAAGAATTAATAATTGGAGCAATTAATAAGACCAGCTCCAATCACCCCCCCCCCCCAAATTCCCTTCAAAACACCTTTTTGGGGGGGGGGGGGCTCCCTACTTCGGGGACCCATTTTTATGGGCTCACCCACCCCTTTTCCCCAAAACCTCACTTGTACTCTTTTCTTCTTATTTTTCACATTAAAAGGGATGAAAAAATAGCATACATTAGTTGGCAAGCTCTAACAAACTTTGAGGCGATGGCGGGAGGAAAGTTTCATTATGGTTGGTGGCTATTAGGTTGGGCGGGAGGGAGGAGACCCTATTCTCTCCCTAGATGTAGGGTGAAAAATGAGATACATAGTCTCTAATTTTGGGAGAGTGTTGAACTGAAATCATTTGTCTGAAACCTTGGAGTAGGAGATAACATAGGAGTTCATCGGAAGGTACACGAGTTATCTTAGCTATAAACTGATAAATTATTTACTACTTGTGCTACTGTGATTTATAATAATTAATAATAACCATGTCAATCTTTTTGTAAGGGAAATAACCACCACAATCTTGCAATAGCATTTAGTAAGGAGTTAAAATGACCCTGAAGCTAGGCCCTCCGATGGCCCCAGGGGCCATGGAGACGCGATGGCCCCGACCCTTGCCAGTGGGAGAGATCTTGCTCCTTTTTAGGTGTTTTTGTGAGTTCGTTTAGGGCCTATGTCTTGCTCAGGAAGACGAGGCGGTGGTGTCCCCTTGAAGATGGAATAAGATTCTTCCCGCCTAGCCCTCGTTTTGGTGATGTGTCATCGTCGGAGGGTGTGTGGAGGTGTGCCTTCTGCAGATCTTGCGGGATTCGGTCGGTGCTGGTCTTCGGTGGATCTGCTTTGATCCATGCTTCGTTATTGTGTCTACAGGTTGGATTCTTCCGATCTGTACTTCTCTTCATCGGCAATTGTTGTTGTTGTTCTGACGCGCTGGGCCATAGTACGACGACTTTCCGACTGTTTACTACAACATGCCCGGCTCTGACGAGGGAGGGATGGTGACGAAATCACGCTTGTAGTCGTCGCTAAATGGTCTATGATCATGAATGCAATTATTATTATTATCGTATTTCTCATACTGCCATACCATGATAAGTAGTAGACCGAAATTTCCCTCAAAGAAAAAACATGACGGTGAAGGTCTCACGGATCACCTCTAGTCCCCGAGCTATGAAAAAGGAGGAAAACATGCAAATGATAACGGAAATGGAAAGCATTGGAAGCCGTCTCCAACATTAATGACGTTAACAGATCGGACGGCCGCGACCCCGGACACGTGGCAGCCGATTAACGGCTCCTGATCCGACCCGGCCGCGGTCCCCTTTCCCCGACTGCAGAACGGTGACGCGTTCTTCTCTCTTTTTATTGCTCCCCGATATAGCCTGGATCCGAGATTATTCCTTCCCCTGTCGCCTCGATCGAAGCCGACGAGCTCAGCCGGCGCCGGAGCAGGGACGGGGACGCCCGTCGCAGGCCGCCTCGCCGCCCGAGTCGCCGCCGTCCGGGGCCCTTCTCGCCTGGTGAGCCCCCGTACACAGGTAGGTAGTTTTCCGAGGAAAGTAGTTCTTGTCGCCCCTCGATTTGGCGAGTTTCTGTTCAGATAACCTCCTTGATTCTTCCAAGGAAGGTAGCTCCTTGATTTGGCCAATTTTCTGTTTAGATTTCTTTTCTACTCCTTCCTTTCCAGTTGCAGGCTGAATCTTAGATGTAAAGATTGCCCCTTCGCTTGAGCAATTATAGTTTAACGGACGTTTCCGAAAAAAGTATGTAGTTTAACGGAGCGATTAGGGTGTCTGTTCATCGAAGATTCAGGATTGGGCTGACGGGTTTCTCTGGAGAGATGATTTGTTGTTCTGTCAAACGAGAGAGGAATTTTGATTTGCAACCTATCATGTCGGTCTATTTGTCAGGAAAAATAGCAGCGTTGTTAGTGGAATGCTCTGTTTAGTTTTTATTACAACAGGATTCTGTACACGTGATTTCTGTGATAAGCAGCGAGTTGTTCTCTCTGGTAGGAGGCAAAGATGGAGCCTGGAAGGAAACCTCTGAGTCTGCTGGACCTATGCATCCGGAGCGCCGTCGACAACCTCAGGACCCTCAACAGCGTCGACATCGTGCCTGACGAGCTGCTCAAGAGAATCCTGCCCCACTGCACCTTGGAGCAGCTGAGGCACATCGAGAGTTGCACACATGTATGCTTCTCGCGGAGCAACTCATCTTCTTTGCACATCTATCAGGACGTGTTTGTGATTTTTACTCTTCTGCTCCGACAGGCGGACCTTACCGACGTTACAGATGTGCTGTGGAAGAGATTCTTCCAGCGCGAGTTCGGTGAGGAAAATATGAACCTTGCCATCAAGAGAATGAAGGAGAACAGGGTGCGTTACAAATGGAAGAAACTCTTTGAGGTACAATGATTCTCTAGTTGTTTTCTCTTCTTGCTATCTGTTTCGGTAAAATTTATGTTGCCTTCATTCTTGAAATAATTTGACCCTATACGTTTTCAGGCAAGAACAGAAAAGCAAAAGCAAGTTGAAGCAAGAATGTCGGCTGGGCTGAAAAACAAATATCAAGCAGCAAACGCTGGTAAGTAGATCGGTTGGGTACGGCATGACACCTATAACGTACCGACATTTATATTCTATAAACAGCATATAGCAACTAAAAAACAATGGTTTAGAAAGAAATGTAACATCTAATTATTTTTCTGACAGCCTGGTTTATGATTCACGATCAGTATGACTCATGTGCGATATTACTTTCTGTCTCTTTTTTATCCAGCGAAACAGAGCAAACAAATTAAAGTTTGTACGAAGATCCCACCGAACAGCAAAAGAAGTTTTTGGGGAGGTGATTTCCTGACCCTTTTTCTGCTCTATTCTCGCCAGCAGTATGCTACACTTTCCACTTTTCCAGTTTCTGATAATATGCAAATCTTGACAGGAAGTGGATCCAGCAGCCTAGCCAACTCCAGCTACAAGAGCCCTATATTGAAAAAGGCAAGGATGGAGGTTGACAGGTGACTATCACTCTCGGAATGATGCCCATAAATGCTCAAAGTATCGTTTAATTTAACACACTATTTCTGTTACAGTCGGGCGAAAATGCAAGCTGCTATCCAAAGGAACACTGTTGCAAGGTTTGTCACACAGCAATGCGCTCTCATGTTGCACAATTTTGTCACAAATATCACCTATATTTTGTTCCTTCAATCCCTTGCAGTTTCTACCTTTCACACTGTATCAGTAAACTTTGGCTCTGAATTTACAGGTCATCACAGCCAGCAAGGCTGACCTTTCCTAGCGAACAGACATCGAGGACGACGACAATTCATCGACCTAATTCAACGATAACCATCACCAAACCAGTTGGTCCGAACAGGCCCATTCAAAAGCAGAACACCAGACCCAAATTTTAGAGGCCACTGCCATGACATCATGCTTGTGACCGTGGAGTTTGCCATGATTGCGCGGAAATCGTAGTTCCTGTGGACATTCAACAAGTCTTTGTGAGACAGGGAAGAGTCTTGTTTGTAGTTGCCCCAGCTGAGCACTTGTATCTTTAGGGGAGCAAACAATATCTGCACCAAACATTTTTTCAAAATTAGATTCAATCAAATCATTGAAATGCATGAGCTTCGAAAAATTGTGATTCTGATGAGAAATCCAGTAATAATGGCACATGACGAGTTAACTACTAACAATTGCCATCTCGAGCTCTCCTGCCAATTAATTCTGCAAGAACAATTCAGTTCCCCCTTCGTGTTGCCAGCTGATACTCTGACCTCAGAAGCTTCTGAATATTTGATTTGATATATCAGCAGCTAGCTTATCGATTTGTTCGTGAAACAGTATCTGACGAACTAAGTCTCCATCTGAGTTCAGAGTGTTGGCAGTGTCTAAAACAATACCAACCTTAATAAGTAGTAGTACTTGCTGCATGTATTTCAGAGTAGAAAATGGTGAAAAGCTTGTTCAAATAAAAATGTGGTGATGCATACTGATCAAGATATCTGCAGCCATTTGCCCAGCTACAGCTAGCTAGTCCACCAAGCTCTGTCAGTGGTACTGAAGATTGAGAAGATGCATATTAGAGTAGAGGGTGGTCAATGCTCTTTTCTGAATTCTGATGGAACAGAGCCCAGGTCTGGAGGATGGTTTTGCTTCTGCAACTTCTGGCACAGCCTTCGCAAGCAGAAACAATAAACATGACATTGAGTTCCAGACAAGCTTCAAAATATCGGATATCGGGTTCGTATCGGTTTGGCTTCGACATATCGGATATCGGATATCGAGTGATATATCGGACGATATGTAGATATATCGGAGAAACCAAGTCTAGTTTTTTTTCATTATTCTTGTTCAAAACATTCACTTTTAGTAAAAGAAAATGTATGATCTCAATGCTTTAACATAACACTTTTAGATTCCTAGTTTAGTAACTTGTTGATATAGAAACTAATAAGGAAGGACTCACAAAATCCTTACTCCATGATTAAAAACAACACGATATATATGCATTTGTACAAAACATTCTGCATGACTTTGATAATATATAATGAAGTTGTGAATGCATAATGTTATTTCACTGCTTTCTAATAAAAAAAATTGTTGTCATCTACGTATCGTTCTATACCGGTGGACATATCGGACATATCAGTCGACATTTTGGTCCTTACCGGATGATATGTTTGGGAAATGATATTTACCAAATGATATGTTATGTTTATATCTGTAGAGCCCCAAAAGTGATATATCGGCCTATATATCGGTCGTATCGGCCTAGATTTAAAAGCCTGGTTTCAGAGTAGTACAATCAGCTAACAAACTTTTCTTCTCCCTAAAAGATGACGAAATTAGCTAACTGAAACTTCTAGATTAGTCATATGCAATTCCATAACAGGGTTTTGTAAAAAATATTTAGTCATCTGGATTCGAAAAATGTGCACGAATTGAAAAATGTTAACAAAATTAAAAGAATGTTCGTGAGTTTAGAAAAAGTTCCCGACGTCAAGTAACCATCCCGGTTTAAAAAAATGTTCACGGATACAAGAAAAAATACCATGAAATTCTAATATGTTCCTGAATAAAAAACATGTTTAAAAATTGAGAATAACTTTTTTGTTAATAATATCCGTGAATAAAAAAATGATCGTGAATAAAAATTTCAAATAATGTTTGTGAATCTAAGACAATTTTCCAAATTAAAAATATGTTCATGAATAAAACAATGTTTAAAGTTTTGACAAAATGTCATGATTCCAATTTTTTACTAAACATTTAAAAATGTCCAAATATTCGAAAACAAGTTCGTAGTTCTAAAATGTTCTGTGAACACAGAAGTTTGCGATTTCACATATTGTTCGCAAACTTGGAAAACAATGTTCATGAAATTGAAAAAATATCCACCATTATAATAATGTTCAAAAAAGTTAAAAATATTAGCAAAAAAATGTTTATGAATTAAATATTTCTCTCATGAAATTGGAAAAACCCTTTATGATTTAGAAAATATTTGTGGACGCGATTTTTTCCCCATAAATTCAAAAAATGTGTCGCAAATTTGAGAAAATGTTCACGAATTTGAAAATATAGTATTCAGTAAATTCAAAAAAATTCCAAGAATATAATGAATGTTAATCAAATAAAAAATATATGCAAATTATAGAAAATGCTAGAGAATCTGAATTTTTTTTCTAGGAATAAAAATGTTCTCGAATTTTAGATTTGTTCACACTTTCTTGAAAAAATCTTGAAATGTTGTAAAAAGTCGTCAATTAGTAAAAAATAAAAATGGAATAAGGAAAGATGGTAATGAAAAACAGTTGAAACCCTGAAAAAGAATATTAAAGAACCTGGGCGAAGCCAGAAGAGTGTTTTATTAGTTCAGTCGGTAGTAACAAGGGTACAAAAGATACCTTCCTATCCATCCACCTATGTGGGAAATAGCCCACCCCCCTATGTCTCGCTTAACGCGAGAAAGAGGGAAACCTCACCTGAAGGGAGGTGCAAGGTGGGCCAGCCCAGGCATGCAGGAGCCACCGTCTTTTTCTAAGTTTTTTCTTTTATATTCTAATTTGATTTACACTTCCAAATATTCTTATTAAATGCATTTTTTTCATAAAATAGTTTAAATAAAATGTTAATCGAAAATTGTTAAATATGTATAGAGAAAATGTTTCTCACGTATACTGGAAATTATTACACAAAATATGCAATGTGTGTGAAAAAATTGATCCTGTATTTAATGTTAATCAAGCAGTTAAAAATGTTAAACAAGTATTTGAAAAGTGTTACTCAAGCATTTTAAAAATGTTTAATGTGTATATAAAGAATGTTGACTATGTATTCAAAAGTGCTAATCTGGTATCGGAAGAATGGTAATCAAGCATTTAAAAAATGTATATAGAAAAATGTCAACCGTATATCCAAAAAATATTAATCTTGTATTTCGAAATTATTAAATAAATATTTGAAAAATGTTGAATCTGTAAACAAAAAATGTTGACCATGTGTTACATAAAAATCTTAATGTTCTACTTTATAAAAATGTGTATCAAGCATTTGAAAAAAAATTAAATATCCATAGAAATATTTTGACATGTATTAAAAAGTGTTAGAATTTTACTTGAAAGATGTTAAACGTGTATACATGTATCAGATCTATACCAAAAGTACAATTTGGATGGACAAAATATAGACATCCAAAAATAAATAAAATTTCATAAAATCATAATCATGTATTTAATAATGTAAACATGTATATAAGGAAGGTCTCAAATATATAAGAAAAATGTAGAATCTGTTGTGAAAAAATGTTAACTCGTGTTGAAAAAAAAAGAAACCGATGAAAACCAATAAAAAAATGTAAAGCAAAGAAAACCAATGGAAACGAAAATGAAAAACAAAGAAAACAAAAAAATAATGAAAAACGCAAAAAAAAAACATTACAAAATAACGAAACCGAGATAGAAGCCACGAAAACTGATGAAAAACAAAAGCAAAGAAAGAAAAGCAAAAAAACAACGAAAACAAAGAAATAATCAAATAAAAACAAAATTCGATGAAAACCGAGAAAGAAACAAAGAAAACCAATGGAAAAGCAAAGAATACAATAAAAACCCAAGAAAACCTTCAATAAAAAGAAGAAAGACGATGAAAACCAAAGAAAAAACAAAATGATTTGGAGAAAATCGGAGAAAAAACCAAAAGATAAAAAACCTAAGGGAAACCATTGCAGCGAACAAACAGAGCGAACAGAATTGCAATGTAGCGAACGACAAAAGAAAGGGAAAATATGGGCCGACCCAGTAGCTACAGGTGGGAGGGATCCCTTCAGTTATGCTGAAGAACGGACTCACGCTAAGCTAGAATTGTCCCCGCGCCTAATAAGGTAATGCATGGGAGCTTCCATTAGATGCCCATTGCGTAAGGGAGGCTAGCCCATTGCAAATAAGGCCCTGTTCGAAATCCCTCCAGCCCGCTCCAATATTGCTGACTTCACGGAGCTGTGGAGCTCGATTTTAGCCGCTCCCTGAAAATGAGCTACAGACTGGTCCGCTCGGGGAGCACAGCCGAGGGAGCGGAGAGGAGCCGAACGCGGCCTAAGACTCTCGCTCTATCGGCTCTCAGTATTGTAAAGATCAGTATTTCCTAAATAAATGATTTTTAAAATTTGAGTAATTGTTTGAAAAACATAAGAATTTTTTAAAGATTTTTGTAAAATAATACAAAAAATGCTAATTATTTTTTAAATTTCTGGAACGTTTAACCATGAATTGTTTTATACTTTTTGAACTCTTTTTTAAAATGTGAACAATTTTCAAACATGAACATTTTTAAAAATTTGTAAACATTATAAAAAAGATAGCTAAAAAGGAAAAAACCAACAAAGAAAAATAATAGGAAAAAACCCGAGCCGAAACGTTCTAGAAGGTTCCTAAAACCAGAAAACCCGAAATGTAATTCGCCGGCGCTAAGCCCCCACACCTCTACTTCCTGAAAATTTAAAACGTTCTAAAAGGCCCAAGACGTATCTCCTTGAAGACAAAAAACCCAAGCCCTCCCATGTCGCGCCCGCGCGGTGATGGAGAGGGTACCCTAGTTCGCCGCCAACAAGCCCCACTCCTCCCCCTCTGCCTCCCTCGCCGTCGTCACAAGGATATGTAAGGCAAAGCTCGACCAGAGCCAACGGCGGTAGGGCATCCTTGTTCCTTTGCACGCATGGTCCGGCACGGGGCGACTCTTTCCGTTTGGGCACAACGGGCAATGGTCGGGGCTTGACCAGTGGCGACCATCAACATTCGCGGGGTTGTGCCCCCCACCCCCTGGTCAAACGTGACTAGCTGGGAACGACGTAGGCATGACCGCCTCCGACCGTAGAGGTGTCGACCCAAACTCAACAGCTGATGTCGAGCTTGGAGTGTAAGGAGGCATTCTCCGTTCTTCCTACCATGGTTGGTGCACCATGATTTGGACGGTTGATGGCAATCTGCATGGTTGGCTCTTCGGTGGGCAACATGCCCGTGGTGGCGGGTATGCCTCTTGGCAGTGGCGGAGCTTCAAGCCCATTGGTGGACGGGCTGGGCCGGCCAAACATAGGGAAACATCTTGTGGGCTGATGTTCCAAGGTCCAGAAGTAGAAAATTAGTGTATAAACTACAGAAAGTTGGGCGGGGCACGGCCCATTCGGCCTTGACGTGGCTCCGCTAGTGCCTCTTGGCCGTGTGGGCGGTGAAGGGCGTAGCGACGAAGAAGGTTGTCAGAATCATGATTCTGAATCGGATCGGAGACCCAATGATAGGATTGCAATA